CACACGGGCAAAACTTCATCAAACTTGTTAGTTTGACAAATTATTCCAATTTAAAAATGTTAATGTAAACGGAAATATTTGAGTGTAATTTATAATTGCATTACAAACAAGCTACTCGATTAATTGGCATTAAAAAAAAAAAAGTACTCTGAATCAGCGGTGTGAGGAGCTCAGCTTAAGTTAATTCAACACAACTCGCAATTGTCGTCACTTAATTAATAGCCTCATATTTAATCTGTTTCAAACTGCGCCCTTTTCCCCCCTTTGGCAACCTCTTCGCACAGTCTTTCAGTTTATTTTTTTTGTTTTTATTCATTTATTATCGTTTTATGGAGTTGGCATGGCCATATAAAATATATTATACTGATCGTATCTTCGTCGACTGAATACGCTTAGTGCATTCAACTGGCGCTCAAAAAGAAAAGACAATTGTCATAAGCCTATTAAGCGAGGCTTTTAAAATATTATTGTTGTTTTTTTATATTCCCTGCTTCTGTTTATTGTTGTTGTTTAAGTGAAATGCTGGCAATGCTTTAAGTGTGCCATAAAAAGTAAACAGTTGCCGAGGATTTGCCCAAGGGAGCGACTCTTTCTCTCTGTGTCTACCAGGAAGCCATTAAACGATCAACTAATTAAAGATGCCCCACGCATTAGCTGTGCATATGTATATATATATATACACTATATATATAAGTTTATTTCCATATCAGTCTGGAAGACAATGCACCGACTGAGATGAATGATCAATTTTTGATGGGCCACAATATTCATTTGGTATAATCACTTAGGGCTTGGAAAAATATTCAAAATCATTTAGTCATCGTATTGTTTCAGTAAAAAAGTAATTATACAATCAAATTCAACGTAAATCGCGTGTGTTCTTTATAAGCCATTAACTTTATTTTGCTACATTTCTGTGGAACTTTCATATGGCTGACAGTTCCAATGTATAAGGAATATTAAATATACTAACCTGTATTTTAAAATAAAGCAGTTTATTTACCAGGAATTGGTCAATTTGTTAAATGGCAATCGTTTAATATAACCTCAAACCAAAATAAATAAATTCCATTTGCAATGGCAGTCAGTCAGTCATTTGCACTCGGATTGCTATGCATTATTAACAATTATGAATGTGCAGTGAAAAGAGCTGAGCAAACTCTCCAACATGCAACATGCGTTTCTCTGTGCCACTGCACACAAATAGAAGAACACGAATTGCGTGCGTCGGGGGTCAGCAACAAGAACAACAACAACAACAACAGCAACAACCAAGAACCTACAACCAACAACCAACAACAACAACGACAACAGCTATAACAACTCAAAATAAAAACAAAATGACGAAATGCACATGCAGCCGAACAGCAGCCGATTTACATACACTAAATGCATATATGTATATATGTTTATACACTGCAAACATTCTACAAATGCATTGGTAACATTTAGATATGATACTGTTAAGCCACCTCCCAGATATCAGATGTTATACAAACGATCGTACTTTGACTAGTTACAAGTAGAAGAAAAGTAGTTCAAATTAAAGTAAAGAGTAAATTATTTGATTTGATTACAAGTTTTTTAAAGATTTTGCATTGGTCTAAACATTCGACTGGCAACTGACTGAACTTGTGTCAAGTTTGCTCTTCTTTAAATTGATTCTATTAGACCTTTTCATAAGTCAAAATCAACTCTCATCTTTACAATTTTTCTATTAAACCTCTTCATAAGCCTAAATCAGCTCTTGAATTAAATTAAATTTTAGTTAACCATTAAACACTTATCCAAGCCACATACATGTATTTTTCTTTCAGTGTGCTCGTGTATAGGCATTTTTTTTTTAAACGGGCCAACATCAAGATAAGGGCAAATGCATATGCCGGCTCTACTCCCTGCAGATGGGCTCTGTGCGAGTCGCGTGCCTATGACCCCAAAATCCCAAAACGCATAGCACACACACACACACACACACACACACACACATATACAGATATACCCAGCATAAGCATACATAATGAATATATATATATATAAATAAATATGACCGATTGCTGAGCGCACAATGCACGCTTATTGTTGCTGGCCTGCAGTCCAGTCTGGGGCTTAATGCAATATTTTTTGTCTACCCCACCAGGATGCGAGTACGCATTCACATTCAACTTGTTATTCATCCATACTAAACACAGCTGCCCCCAAAGCGCCCCCACCCCTCCGGCACTCGTTGCCACCCGTTTTCTGACCATGCGCTCATTAAGTGCGAGTGTCTTTTTTCTCTCTTTTTTTTTAATCAAAATATGCGCAATTTATTCGTGGTAAAGGAGCGCACAAGGCGACAGGGCAAAGTGCGGAGTGCAAGGGACGCGTGGAGTGGGTGTGGGGGTTGTCAGTCTTAAGGACATTGAACCTCACACCCGCTTAGTCGATGAGTCAGAAACACAGCGCCAGACACACGCGACGTGGCAAATACGCCCACTGCCACAAACTAGTACGACTACCACAGTTGACACTAGCTAAAGAAAAATGTTTCGTTTGCACATGTGAATTTTATAATTTTTGGAATCATTTTTTATATATAAAGTATAGTTAAATTAGTTGTTCAATTTTCAAAATTTGTAAAAATCTTTAACAAAAGAACATAAAAATTAATTAATTTCCATGCATCTATTGCAGTAATTCTGAGTTCAATCATAATCTCTGTAAGTACTCGTTAGCGAGCGACTACTGTGGCAAGGCAAAGGCTATACAACATTGAGATTGGCATGCAGAAATAAGTATATGCATATGAGATATATATGTATAATAAAAGGGCACAATTTTTACATTTATTAAAGGCCCTCAAAAACACTGAGTGAGTAAATTATAATTGAGCGACGCGACGAGAAACTGAAAAAAGAACCAACTCCGTACGGACGGACGGACGGACGGACGGATGTCAGGCCGGTGGCAAGAGGCAAGTGGCAAGGCGAGCCCTTCAATCCAGCCCGCATATTGTTTATTTAGTAAGGATATCGAAACCCGAGGCGCAGCCGGGCATATGCTATACATGCTACACGCTACATGCCCCAGCTGCAACAGGGCTCGCTATTGTGTATATTCATTGATGTTAGTATATAAGAGAACTGTTTTTTTAGAGGTTTCATTTTAACTGTTTTGGAACTATGAATATAGCTGTTAATAAATAATTTAAATGAGTTTTTACAAACAACGTTTTCTGGGAAATATTGGAAGTTTAATCAGATTTGGATAGAAACAAGAAAATATTTGCAAAATATAAATCGATGTATGTGATATAAAGATAAATGATCCTCTTAAAAAATGGTTTTCTAATTTAAATTCGATTTTCGAAAATCATAGATCAAGTGGAGTTTAAATTGTGTTCAATGCACTTAACACAGTTGTTTATTAATGGAACCGCCCTCGATTTGAGTTGTGTGTGTATCTGTGTTTGTTTGCATATTATATATATATATATACATATACTATATGTATGTGTGTGTGTGTACATAGCAAAGTAGATATGTGCCACATGACGGACGCAGTGGCAGCAACAGCAGCAGCAGAAGACATCATCGTCTGGCTGTAGTAGCTGAGTGTCGCCTGCTAGGCGCTGTGTCTCAGAGCTCCCGGTTCAATAAACGCACGCACGCACTCACACACATACACAGAGAAAGAGAGATAGTGGCATACACTCATGAGTGGCATATTCACATTCACATACACTCACGCACTCGCGCTTATGAGTGGCGCGTAATCAAATAAAACGACGAACGACAAAACGACGAAGTGGAAGTCGAAGTAGGAGACCAAGACAAGCAGATAGGGGAAGAGGAGGAATTGGATTAGGTGGAGCAGGAAGAGGGGCAGGAGTTGGTGTTCAAGTGGAAGACTGGTAGGGGGTAGGGCAAAGGCGAGTGCGGTTGCATGCCCAAACGGAAGTTGCCCGGAAAATGTACATAGAAAGTGAACTTAAGTTAAGTTATCAACACACACACAGACACACACTTGATGAATTCTTCTTCTTGTTGTTGTTGTTTAAAAAGTTGTTGCCAATGTGACACTGTTGTCTCAGTGTTGCAACTGTTGCAACTGCTGCAATTTGCTTGCAACTTTTAACCAATTCTAATTGGCAAAAATACACAGCGAGACAAAATGTCTTTCACAGACAGAGAGAGAGAGAGAGAGAGAAAGAGCGTGAGAAAGAGAGAGAGAAAGAGGGAGAGAGAGACAGACACTGAAGTCAGTTCTTAGACGTTGTTGTCTGTTGTCTTTTGTCTGTTGTCTTTTTGTTCATTGTGCGATTGCTGTTCAAGTTTGTTTTTGGCTTGGCAATTTTCTAATGAATCCGTTTTAGATTGGCGGACATGCCAAGAGCAGGTGTCAAATTTTCGGTTGATAATTAAGGTCTAAGAAACAGAAATCATAATGACAAAAATTGTTGAAGCAAGAAAGACTTTAAAAATTAAATAAATCATAATAAATAAGATGCCAGAGTACTTTTTGTTAAAAGTCAATGGCTTCCCGACGACTTCTTATTGCTGATAGCTGAACATAATTAATATGCATAAATACATATACATATAAAATACTCAGAATGAATATTCCAAATAAAAAATATATAAAAATCTTTAGCTGTCCTCAACGATAACCCATAGCTAGATCATTATAATAATCTTTAGCACTGTGCTTAAGTGCACATTAAGGCAATAAATTTAAGTGTAAGCTTTTCGAATTAAAGTAAAATTGAGCAATTTACAAAACAAACAAAAATTCTCAAAATAAAAAAAAAAAACTGTAATTTGTGTAAGTTCTAAAGAAAAAACATTTCTTCTTGTTTATGTGTCTCTTCCTGTTTGTGATTTATGCGGGAGTCGACTTTAGGTCTAAAAATAATTATGCAGAGGCTGCTCTACGCAGCATATTCAAAACGCACTAAACCGTTAGACATAGTAAACATAACTGTTTAACTCATTGCTCTTAGATGTTATGTAAGCACTTACCATCGCATCCTCGGAGACATCCAATTTCTCTTTGCTCGTTGGCTGTTGCGCCCATTGCTGTTGCTCCCCTGGCTGACCAGGGTTATTATTATTATTATTGATGTTGTCGTTGTTGTTGTTATTGTTACTATCGTCGTCGTCGTTATTGTTGATATTATGATGATGGTTGTGACTGTGGCTGTGGTGGCTGTGATGCATCAGCAGCTGTTGCTTATTGGTTGCCGCCGCAGCTGACGCCGTCGACGTCGACAGCAAGGCGAGACCGAGGGAAACCAACAGCAATCCTCCATATGTGTAACACATTTTTGTTTTCCTGTGCGCAGACCTGGCAACACTCGCAAACAAATTTCACTTGTGTATGTAGTAGAAATGAATGCAAGTCAGAGGCAACACTGGCAAAACACTTGCACTTTTTATTTTTGCACGCACTTTTTTTTTTGGATTGAATACTTTCGTATACTGCACTTCTTGCAGTGCGCTGCAGCTGTTGTGACTTGAACTTTTCACTTTTTCTACTACTACTTCTGCTGTTTTTTGTTGTTGTCGTTGTCGTTGTTGGTGGTTAATACACATGCGCACTGTGGCAATGCAGCCGGCAACACCAGCGCGAGCGCTAGCAGCGAAAGCAGCTTCGATGTAGCTCTTTCCTTTTCTATTATTTAGTTTTTGTTTTGAATTCTGTTTCGGGCTTTGCCCTTTTTTCCTACTGCTTCTTTACCAATGACGCATGCAGAAGGGAATATATTTCGGTAGTAAATTAAATTGAAATTTGAGTGTTAAGCGCACATTAGCTAATGTGGTTTTGTTGTTGTTTAGCTTTTGTTTGCTTTTGTAAATGCAGCGACACAATTAATTAGCACGCGACGCGTTTACCAAGGAACTGTTATTGCTGCTTTGCTGCTGCATTTGCTGCTGCTTTTCTTGCTGTAATCCCACGCATTCACTTACACACACGGACACACACACACACAGTGCTCTGCTCTGCTTTTGTTGTTATTACAAAAAAGTAGTAGGCGGCGGCGCAACAACAATATATTCCACAAGAAGAACTCACGCGACTCACGTTCGGCTGCCTGCGTCTTCTTCGTTTCGTTCAGTTTTTCTTCTTTTTTTACTGCATATATATATATATATATATATATTAAAATAATCCTTTTTGTTTGGCGCACGAAACACAAAACAAAGAGCGAAAATCTTGTTAGACCGCCTTTGCCTTGTGTTGACTTTGGCTTCCAGCGCGTTACTGAGCGCGACAGGGAAACGCGCGCGATTCGCGACCGTTTGTTTTGTTATTTTTTCGACTTCATTCAGTCAAGTGCGAGCGAGAGCACAAAATCAGGGAGAGAGTCGCGAGCAGCGCGAGAGTGATCACCGCACACACAAAGAGCGAACGGTCTTTGCAGTCAATGCAATCGTCAACGGAAGAGAGATGGTTGCTGCTCTTTATCTCTTGTAGAGTTTCTTGTTGGGAGCATGCGCCTATTTCTGCAGCCAATAGCCAATAGCAGTTTTGCTGCACAACTGCAGTTCTCTGAGGGTCAATTAACGATCGCTTGGCTTTTAAAGAGAGCAAAAGCATATTACTACTCTTAGGCCATAGGCATTTGAAGTTGGGAGTTTAGTCTGAAGCGAGAGTGGTAGAAAGCAGTAAAAAAGAGATTCAATTGATAAATTCATTTATATTAATTTATCTTATGTCATAAAATGCCTTAACCTAATCATAAATTGTTAACTTATTATCGCTTCTTTTGATAACTGGGTTTTATTATAATCACTTTTATATGATAATCCGTTGGTAATTGAAACTTTTGGAAACTTTTGAGAGCTTTTCGAAATCATTTTAAATATTTTGGAATATATGCCAAGCATTTTTTCGATCAATACCATCAACTATATTTTATGTATTTTTAAATTATCCATATTCATTTACATTTTATTTTCTTGTCATCTATGTTTAATGTATTTTAAATTTTATCAAATATATTGATTTTATATATTATATATATTGTATATTCACAGATCTGTGAGGCTGACTCACGGTCGATAATTGTGATCCATATTCATTTCAATTTTCATTTATTGTCATTTAATCATGCCAATATATAATCAAAGACCTAGACCCCAACCTACATAGAGAATATATGTATATATATATATATATATATATATATCTGCTCGAATTGAGCAGCCGGCAAATTTGAGTAACTGGTCGAGTCAGTCTTGAGGTCTTCAGAGTTCAATCATCAATTGAACACACACAAAAACACAACAGAATAATGAATGCTTATAGATTTTTGTAACTTCTCAGTACAGCTAATGACCCACTGTGCGCCAATGGGCCGTGATGACCCAAAAAAAAGTAAATAAATATGATTACAAGTGATTCAAATAATACCTTATCAAAGATAGCAGGGCTTACTCAATAGGTACATATAGATTATGATGTAACTTCCGATCAACAAACCCAAAAAAAAGAACCAAACCTTTAACGGATTTGCGTATACGCATTGTAGCCATGGTCAAGATCAGACGCCTTGACTTATCAATAAATACGCACTCTCTCTATATATATAAATAGATATCAATTCATATACATATCACATCACATGTTATCACATCCGGCTAGGCATGATTTATGTTTTCTTCATTTTTATAGCAATATTTATTTTTGATAGTGAGTAAGAAAGCAATGCATTTAGTCGCCAAGTCGGACTAAGGTTAGCATTTATATATCTATATAGTATATATATGGACGATGTCAATGACTCAGTTGTGTCATTATCTGTTTTGTATAAATGTTGTTTTTGCATTTCTCATGCTGTATATTTATTGCGTTCTCCCATTAGTTGTCCGTTGATAAATGCGTTTGTATCTCACACAGCTTGGCGACAATATTGTGCAGGCCTCGTGGCAGTGGCAAGTTCGTGACATAAATCATTTATGGTGCGGATCGCCAGTATATATACACATATATATATATATATGTCGACTGTGTGTGGGCCGATATGGATAGTGTAGTGTGTCTAACATAAGTGAGTTGTTCCTGTCCAGAGACTTCCTATTGTGCAATGTTTTTATGACTCAATTTAAATATTTTTATTTTAGCATACGATTTCTTTCTCATTTATATATATGGACATTGACCGCGATTTACATGTTTCCACACATATATCTCTATATATATATATATATATATATATATTACACGCGCTAAATCGAACACGTTCCATTTCCACACCGGCGACACACTGTGGCAACCAAACTGAGGCAGGAAATCAAAAACCATTTCGAAATTTTTGTGTTTTAATTGCCTGTTACCTGACCATATCTGAGATGGCTGAAAGGTGCTAACTGATCGTGGCTTAAATACACTATGCTACGCTTAGGTATTTCTTACATTTCTTTCGAGTTTATTCTGATTTGGCAGCTCAGTTTGTAATGCATAGAAGGAAATGTTGCCTATTTCATAGAATATATAGATCACTTGGCGAGTCGACACATGCAAACTTTTAAGGATATGCCAATCAAACTTGGCATTTAAAATAACTAGTATATCGAACTATTATATGTAATAGCTGCCATGTTGTCTATCGGTTTGTTAACTTATTAATAATTATAACAATAATTATTTTTTCTATAAAAAAAAACTCATCAGTTATGCTTGTTATTCTGCTCCTATCATTTTGACAAAAAGTTAGCCTCATCTGACTACTATATAGAAATCAATCAACAGTCAGTACATTTTTAAAATATATACTGAAATTTATATCTCAGCAGCTTGTCTCCGTTCTGCAAGGGTATCTAATCTTCAGCTTTTCTAAGATAGTCAATCTTTCTTGTTATTAACTTTAACCAAATAATTGATGGAAAAATGTGAATGGTTTTAATTAAAAGTTTCATTAGCAAACCGCATATTTAACTTCATAATTGAACTAATTCAGGCCATGTAAGAGACAATTACAACTGGGTTACTCTCAAATTCTATACTATATTGTATCATATTTATAGATATTGTTTTCTATAAACTTGACAGGCACTTTTAAGACACTTGTCATACAAATATAGATATGCTGCAAAGATTTCATCAAAACCACTTTTGAAGATTAATAAAAACATGATTAGTGAATAAAAACTATTAACAAAACTACAAACACAAGTTGTAATGAATTTTTGGTTGCGGATGACACACCTTCCATACAAATGTATCATCAAGTAAAAGTTTTTTTTTTTTTTTTTTCGTTTTTTGTTGCATGAAGACAGGAAATGCCGGCCTAATTTTTACTGTGATGGCCTCCCCATCTGGCTGCCAGTTGAGCAGTTCGCTTTTCTGTCTGTGCAATTAATATTCACATTTTGCATATTTTGTTTTGTCATAACAACTGCAATGACCCGTGCAATGCACCCGGGTCCGTGTCCGTGTCCGTGTCCATCAGTGTCCACCTTGACGATGAGACTGTTCCATTAATCAGATTCGATGTTGGCATTTCATTTTGGCCCGTTATCAGCAAAACTGTCACCGCTCAGAGAAAATTTATTGAATTAATTAATTACCAAAACACAACAAAAATGAGATTTCCATAAAATATGACAAAGTTCATGAAAATTCCACATTTAAATGTGTACAGCATAACAAAATTCACTTTTATTTTGGATCTTTTTTATTGTTGCTTTTTCTGATTTTTATTTGTTATTTTTTTGGGTTTAAGCCAACAGGTTTTGCAACGTCACCGGACATACTACAAAAAATAAAAATAAAAAATTAAAACACAAAGAAGCCAAAGACAAAAGAGTTGAGAGACTCGTGTCTAGTCAGATTGTGGGGAATTTGAAATGCTCTATAAATGCGTAAAGCGCATTAAATATAATTATTTATTGGCATAATTAATAAGGTAACTTTTGCGCTCCTGTTGGCAATTAACGATTCTGATTAATGCGATTTACGTATCACAAATTGACCCATAAAAAAATCCATAATATTTGATTCGTCAGAGTGAGTGTTTAATGAATAATATACTATAAATATTAAAACTCTCATTGTCATCTGGAGTATGATAATAAGCTGACTGGGTTCTGGAAATTCGTAGTGTCATCAAAATCATGGTTGGCTGCTTCCAGTCAACAGATTGTCGATCGCCATTTCCCCATGACTCAAACTTCAAAATGTTTTTGCCCAACTGATGCACAAATCTTCGATTATATATATTGTTAGTGATTCGTAAAATTATGCAGAAATTAATACATATAAACTGCACCCGCATTGCAGTGTTCTAACTAATGCTCTTATCGTGTTTGGTTATATAGCAAGCCAAAGCTTTTTCGCTAAAATTCGGTTGAATTTATGCAGATATGCATTACACTCGTCAGAGATCTGATGTTCGGAAATATGTCATTATGGGTGTACGAAAACTAATGACATCATTATTATAAGAGCATCGATAACATAAATTAACTCCTTGGATTTATATAAATTCATGAGTCATACTCTAAAACTGATTATTGTACAATTTAAAGAAATATTTTGAATATTTTTTGTAATACCCAAAATAACATTTGATTGTATTTAAGTTTTTTAATTCTTCTCTTCAGCCTGAAGACTTTTAAGATCCTTAAACACATTTTTTTAGCATATTGGTTTCTCTTTAATGTCTTTAATTCTTCTCATTATTTGATCGTAAGTCTTTTAAAATATAATTATATGATAGCTCTAATATTTTGTAAACTTTATTATATATAAAATCGAAATTATCTTAATAATCTTATTTTCACGGTTTCAGTGAAGTTTTGGTTGAATTAATTGATCCTTCCAAAGCAGTATTTTTACCAAAATCGAAACTTTTCCATGAAAACTTACTATCCGACAAATAGAAAATACAGCTTTTCCTCAACTCGGAGAAAAACTCGAAACTAAAGTGAGAAATTTAGAATGTTTTCGCGTAGAACATCAAGAAAATACATGCGTGAAGTTAGTGCAGCAGCAACATAGTCAGTTGCACCACTCAACGGACGGTTGGACAGGATGTATTTCACTGAGTAGTTTGTGTTTCATTAGCAGCATAATTTGAGGGCAAAGTTTTTGGCCCGGCCGCAGCGTGTAGAAAGAAACTGCATAACTTTGCCATACTTCAGTTGCATTGCGTGTAATATTTAATTATAAGACACACACACACACAGCAGTAGTAGTAGTAACCCTGCCACACGCCCCCATTGTAACTTGCCAATTGCACTTTAGTGGCACAGCCAGTGGCAACCGACACGGCATAAACGTCTTGGGGCATAAAATATTTAATTGTGTCACGTAACTTTTTGCTAACTGACTCAACGGAGTGCAATGATGGAGAGGGGAGTGGCGAGGGGAGGGAACCAGGCTTAAGATGGCCGTACTATATTCATCCGGGCTGAGTTGCTGCATTGGCAGCAGCGCAATTTGGCTTAAGCTCTCGGGGAGCGCGTGGTTTTTTATGCAAAAGATGTTCCAAACGAATTGCGTTTACGAAATTAGCCAGGCTAAGAGGAAAAAAAAAGATAAGAAAACAATTCGCGCAACTCATCACTCCGTTTACCATATGAAATATACAGCTTTATTCAGTTGCTTCGCCTTTGATTTAAATACAATTTGAATTTAATTTTAACAAAAAAAAAAAATTAGATGTTAACTGAATTTGAAAATGTTCTCCAAATTTGTGTAAACGTTTCTTTATAGCCTATATATGCTGAGCAGACAAATGTTTATTTTCTTATTATTTGTTTTTGTTTTATCGATTTTTCTTGTTTAGTTTTTAGGTCGAGTCTTTGTATTTTTTTTTGTTGTGTAACGCGAATTCAATATTTGCCATTATCCTTATAGGATTACACATACTTGTATATAATATATAATTTCTATATCAATTAGTTGTGTTCGTGTGTGTGTTTGAGTGTGTATGTGTGAGAGTTTTAATGCTTGCTTTCAATTTGTTGATGTTTTTTTGTTTTCCTATTTGTTGGTGCTTTTTCCTTTGCGTGTATCTCTTAAAATGCACAGTACAAATTTTCTTTGAGTGCGGCGCACAACAACAATGACCAAAAAAGTGATTTTCCATTTGTGTTTTTGTTTTTTTTTGTTTGTTTGTTTTTAAATAATAATTTAACTGTTACGATTAAGATTAGGGGCGCGTGTGGGCGCGGCCGGCTTGTGGCTGATGTGCTTGTTTCAGGGGAGCGTGTAACGCACATAGGGCACCTCCACATCCTCACCGTCGACATCGTTGCAGCAGATCTCAAAGACCAGCGAACGCTCGTAGGGCTCGATGCGTCGCTTGGAGACACGGCGTACCACCTCGGACATGGGCAGTGGGAGGCGTTCGGAGCACTTGGCCTTGGGCATGAAGAAGGAGTAGAGCATTGAGACGCCCTGCGACAGCATTGTGATCTTCAGTTTCTCCTTCTCATCGAAATAGTTGAGGAACTCCTGCAGCGACATCTCACCGGTCACCTCGAATCGATCCCACAATGTCCATTCCTGGTCGTAGTATTTATTTTTGGCCGCCTGCAGCGGCTCGGAGAAGGCGAGGAATGGCAATGCCAAATTGGCGAATGCATTCTTAAATTTGGCCAAATCCCGATGGCCGGCAATCAGTTTCATCACCTCGAGCACAGCCAGGCCGGACAGCACCGATGTGGTGGTCGCAATTGCCGGTATTATTTTGCCAGCGATTAGCTTGGACTTGTGACGATCGGCCGGTGGGATTTTGTAGTTGGTCGCCCGCAAATTGGAGCAGGCAACAATGAAGTCCATGTGCAGATTGTTATCATCGTCCTTTTCGAATTCGAGCGGCGTTATTGTCGACTTCTTGTCCGCATTCTTCAGCAGATCAGTGATGATCTTATCCACACGATCCTGATCCACCTCGCCATCATCATAATTATTGGCCGAGGCGGCGGCAGCGGCCTCATTTGTCTCAATCTTGACGCCAGAGCGTGGCCTAAAATCGGGCACCTAAAATGGAAATGAATATAAATAAATCTTCTTCGTCTTTACCATATAGCAACTACTGCTCGCTCATCCTACCTTAACCTGCTGCACCAGCTCGGCAATCTGCTGGCGATCACGCACTTGGGGTATGCCATAAACCTCGGCACGCAAATTGGCAGCCGCATAAATGTAATCCAAATGCATCGGTTCATTCACATCAAAGACAAGCGGCTCCGGGCAACGTTTGGGGCCCGACCAGAACGGTTGACCGCTGGAGGTGACCTGATCGGGTGGGAAATTGAACAGCAGCTGCTTGATCTGATTCGCATAGAGATCCTCCCAGCTAAAGCGAGCCCATTCCACGCAGTGAGCAAAGCTCTTCGGTTTGTCATCCAGCAAGGCTTTCTACAAAGTGAAAGAAATCAATATAAATAAATAATAATCAATATCAAGATACAACACTCACCTTAATGGACTCCAGAATCTCCAGTGGTTGTATGCCGGGCAGCTTGAGGATGCGCTCGGTAAACTGCGGATCAGAGATGTATTGGGCCGCATTCTCAGCGTTCTGCTTGAAGACACCCTCGAAGGAGTCGCGTGCCCATTGCAACGTATGCTCAATGGCATTGGGAAAGTTCTTCAACGTACAAATCGGTATGCTCTTCTCGGGCGGATCCTGTGAGGAGCTGTACGATTCGGTGGCAAATGGCACAATCACCTGCACATTGCCCATGGTGCCGAGTGTGCCCGTCTCGACGAGCGGTATGCGATTAAAGATGCACTTGCGATCCATATAGATGCGTGCATCGACATTATCGAGAGCATTGGCGACGCCATCCAACTTGCCAAAGAACTCTTCGGAGAAAACCTTCTCCGTTTCGGCACCGACACGCAATTCATGTGCCGTCACCTTAACATCGGGATTCATGCGCCTGATTGCATCGGCAGCAGTGAGCGCCTTGGGTTTCTGTACATCGTGTGGACGGAACAGAAACTGACGATTCAAATTGGATTTCTCGATTAGATCCATATCGGTGACAAAGATCTGGCCATTGCGTCCACCCAGACCGAGCATGCCAAAGTTCTTGAGCAGCTCACAGCCAATGGCGCCGGCGCCGACAATAAACCATTTGGCATCGCCCAACAGTTCCTGAAACTTGCGTCCAAATATGGCAATCTGTGCATCATAACGTGTGCCCATCGGTTGGGCATCTTCCTCGCTAACTCCACCAGTTGGTAGACATTCGATGGCATCATAGTAGAACCATTGAAAGATTGGTGTAAATTTACCGCTGCACGCTTTGAGCACCTCCTGGGCAACGATGCCACCGATGGCGGCATCCATGGGACACGTGTTGCCCGCACAAATCTTGGCAAACTGCAACGCCAGCTGCTCATCCACATCGCTCTTCAGCTCCTTGCAAATAAGCAAAAATTTCTGGGCATCCTCCTCGTTCCAGGGACGTGGCAAGGCGTTATTCGCCTGCACATAGCCATCGAGTGCCTTAAATGCCACATGCAACGTGGCCGGTGCATCCAATTTAGCAAAATCAGAGATCAAAAACTCCGGCTCCTTTTCCGCCTCGGCCAATGGCTTAAAGCTAACCGATTTGGGCATCTTCACTTGGGTGGCAACACCAGCCGATTTATAGGCCGAGAATTTACTGGTGTCTCCAATGCTGAAAGTATATGGACCGAGTACGCTGATCTTGATCGGTTGACAGCCATTCAGCTCCTGCATGCCCTGCACCTCGGAGAAGGTGACATAGTCACCATCATTGAAGCCATGACGTGTCTCATCCAGGCAAGTGACAACACCCTGTGCATCATGTGTTATGCTCGCAATCATTGTCGACACCGGCTGGGCGCCATCCTGATCATAAATGGTGAACTTATCTCCAAAATCGCAGAAGACCTTGGCGAACAGGCCGCGCGTCTCCGCAATGATCAATGCAATATTATTGTCATGGGCGAATTGTGCGATGCGCTGCTGCTCCTCGGCATCCGAATTGGTCAGCACAATTACACGGAATTTGCACAGGAACTCGTCCGTCAGGGGGCCCGTGTGTGAGAGAGTACGCACATAGCTATTCAGCTCGGCCAATTGGGCACAGGAGGCCTCGGCACGATTCTTGCCAATATCCGATTTGGTCAAATAGAATTGCGAGGCCAAATCATTCAGCTGTGCGTGGGAAGCGAGAAGAGTTTGATTAGCAAATACGTTAAAAGAGTGATAGACTTGCAGATGACTGCTTCTTTCTTTTTTTATATATAACTATTTATTCTGAACTTGATTTATGTCTTTATTTATTCATAATATATTTATTCTTGACCTAAGGCTATATTTAGTCCGAGAGCAACTAAGTTGTTGTTGGCATAAGAGCAACTGCCCCTCTTAAGAAACTACTTCTCAAATAGAAAAATACTCCATCGAAAAGTCATATTTCCTCATTCGTCTTTCCCACCTTTGCTACTCCCTTTGCTTAACCAATTTTCAAAGAGTTCAGCGAACGCGCAATATTGTGAAATTCAGCCAAAAGTCGCTGACTCTTCCAGCGGTGACTAAGAAATCCCCTTTGGTAGGTGGAAAGGGGGTGGTGCAGTGTGGGGTAGACGGAAACATGAATGGCACAACAAACGGCTAAAAGCAGATGAGACGACGCAGAGACAGACCGAGACGCTTATGCGCAAGCTCTGTTTGCCATATGCACATAACAGTGCTCATTTTGTGTGCGCTGTCTGGCAACGCTGTTAAAGCGCACAAATTGCTGTTAACTAACCTGAGCAAAAACTGGTAAAAGAACTCTGGCCGTAGAAGCAACTAATAAGAACTACTTATCGCAATTCATGTGATTAAGCACAACATACCAAATAAATATTTTTTATGTGGCCAATTTCGCTGCTGTGCCAACAAAGTAAAACAAAAGCGAATGCGCAAACAAAGCGCAATGCAAAACCAAATTACCCAGCAGCAGTATACTCAATGGTCATCTCGCTCGCACACTTTTGCAGCGAGAACAAAAAGCGGGCGCAAATGCCAAAAGTGGGAGGGGGAGGGGTAGGGAAGTAAACTGTATGAAAAAAATATTTAAGTAATTCTTTTTTTCTGCTTAGGCGCTCTTTTCTTTTTTCTTTTTACGCTTTTGCGTTAAACTAGTGCGTTGAAAACTAGGCAAACATAACCTATAAAAAAAAATTGCTCGACGCCGCTGCATGAAAAATATTTTTTTTAACGAGTTTGCCAATTCGCTTCAAATTTTTTTTGCAGAATCATGAATCATGTGTATTAATTTTTCTGTCTCGTTAATTGAACGTTCTTACAGTTCTTTTTATTCTAAACGCATTTCGCGCGCGCGAATGTCAATTATTGATTTTTAACGAAAACGTTTTTTTTTTGCTCGCTGAACTCACCGTACAAGTTGCTGTGTCATGCAGGGTGATCGATTTAACGCCGCCCAAAATGACATTCTTGGCTATCTCCAAGCCGAGGCCGCCCAAACCGGACAAAAGAATATCCGAATTGGCCATGCGCCGCATTGCATCGTGTCCCAGCACATAAAGTTGGCGCGAATACAGCGATTCATCAATATCGCCTCCAGCAGCAGATCCGGCAGCGCTGCTGCTGCCGCTGCTGTTGTTGTTGCTGTTGTTGGCAGCCATAACTGCACTTGTGTTACTGCTGCTGTTATTGTTGCTGCTGCTGTTCTTGTTGTTGCTGTTATTACTGTTGTTTTTGGTTGAACTAACGTTTGTTGAGCTGACAGCGCGCGCGTTGTTTGTTGTTGTTATTGTTGTCGTTGCCAGTTGTGAATTATTATTATTATTAGTTATTATCGATGAGGAGGACGACGCACAACTTTGTATGCGACTACTTTCCTTATTCACTGCTGACGATGTACTAACAACGACATCCCCGCCACCGGCAGCTGCTTGTTCTTCTTGCTTGGACGACGACGACGACTTATTTGCTTTGCATGCGTCAGAGCTGGACGACGATACACACAAATCGCCAGCATTAGCAGTCGTTGCTCTAGCTGTCTCGCTCACATTCAACATGTCAACGTCGTTTGCTTTGTCGTGATTTTCGTAGCTGCTGCTGCTGTTGTTGTTGTTGCTGTTATTGCTGCTGTTGTTGTTGCTGCTGCTTGGCGATGCTGCTGCTGGCAACAGTGTAGATGGAGGAGGAGGAGGAGCAGCGGCAGCAGCAGAGGCTCCACCACCGGCAACTGCCCCAACTGCCCGGCCGGCATCTTCATTCAATTTGAGGCGTTTGCAGAGAGGCGCCTCCGAGCTCCTGCTGCTGCTCGTTGCTCTGGCTGACTCAGAGCGGGACATGATCTCGATTTGCAATTCTGTTGTTTATTTCTTCTGCTATTCCTAAAATAAACCACAACCACAACTACAACGATGATGACCAAAATATATTCACACGAGGAGGAGTCTGAGGAGTCAAAGAGGCAAAGACGACTGTTTGTTTGATGCTCCGTTTATTTGCTCTCTCCCTCACGCACTCTCTGTTATTTAATTACACACACTTTACACTAAGGTAGGTACAATTGTTTGTAGATATATAAAAACGCCACACTAAACACAATTTCTATAGCCGAAATGAATTCGCAATCTTTTTTTGGTGTGTTGCTTGTGGCTCAGTGGTTCACAATAGTGTACTATGTTGCCTGGCGTTGCCTGACTGTCAACTTAACAGCATGCGAACGCCACTTAACAGCGTATATGCTTTAATATCACTTCGTTGAGCCGGTTGTTTCGTTCAGTGAGTAGTGTGATAAGTTTTGCCGGCTCAGCGATAGGCATGCGGCGAAATGGTTGCGCTGCGGCGAAGTATTTATAGCGTTGCCACATGTCAATTGTTCGTAGCTAGCCAGACTGCTTAATTTGGTTGGGTTAAGTGATCTGGCAGGTTTGTTCTGTGGCGCGAGGACAATTTAAATTTGAAATTTAACGAGGTTTTCATGCCCTTAACAGAAATTTAAATAATCGACTTGTATTGCTTTTAAGTGGAAACATATTGTTTGAGGGATGGTTTTTTGTTCTGTATAACTTATACTTTATAAAGTCTTTTCGATTTTGCATTATTGTAAATATTTTAAATTTATAAGTAAAATTCCAAACTAAAGCCCAAAATGATTTTCTTAAATCATTTTTTTAGTCAGACTATATCTTACCATTGAAGTTTCATTCAATTCTTATAACTGTATGATGTATCAAGAATTATTGCAAATTCATGGTAGTAATAAGGAAATTTCATATAAAATTTTTAAACTCTTAAATGCGATTTAAATAAATTGTTTTATTCAATAACGCGAAACATAATTTTCTAGTTAAACATGATCTGTAACGAACTATTAATTATCCAGCTATGTGAAATATTGTTTAAATAGTGTAATTTTCCTTTTTTGTGTGATCCATTAATAAATAGTTCTTGGCACGGTCCTGGTTCCCTCAATGGGCACGCGCCTTTCATCAACTGCTCAGCGAGGCAGCCGCTAAGTGACCCATAGCTGTCCCTTTTCTATATATTTATATAAATATACAGTTGGGTTCAATATCCTTTGACTGCAGCTAATCTATTTTCGGTGCCGGACGTTCTCGAACGGTAGTCGACCATGAAAATGCGTAATTTTCCTCGAAAAACACAACACACACACAAACACACAGAGATCCTTACAATAGACCCGCGTCCTGTGTGTGTGTGTGTGTGGGGGTGTCCTTTGTGGAGAGTGCTAAGTGCGTGCCATTAGAACAGCTGGCGGATCTGTTGCAAGGATCTTTATGCAGCACTCGCCGCTCGCAGCGAACAGTTGCGTCAAATGCATTTTAATTTACAGTTAGACAGCTGCCCCTGCAGCGGCAGCAGCAGCAGTGTTTTAATTTAGTCACAGAACGCGAAAGTGAAAAAATACACTTGAAAAAATAACTAATAAAATATCTCAACTTATGTGAAAAAAAGGTGTGAAAGTTTTCAGCTTTCCTTTAATACGATCAGTTTATATTTATTATATATTTAATATATATATATATATATGTATTATATTCATTATATATTTATTTCAGTGCTTTAAAAATGTTGTAACTAAATTCAATTTGTAATTTAAAGAAAACTTATTCCATTTCTTATTTAATTTAAAGTCATGCTTTAGCCCACCCATTTTGTGCAGTGTACGCGATCCTTTGCCATAGAGTTTATCGCGTGCGGTTTTGTCTACTTTGTCGCGTGGGTCGCTGCACAAAAATTAGCATAGGTGGAATGTTGAATGTTGTTTGTGGTATTTGGTATCTGGTAATTTGGATGCAGCTAGCAGCTAGCAGCAGCTAGCGGGGTGGGCGAGGGTGTGCACCAGGCGAGAGGGTGGAGTGGGAGGTGGTGCAGCTGTCGGGTCTGCTGCATGCTGACTGATCGCGTGCCCCTTAATTAAGGCTCATCCACATATGGCGAACACATAAATTTCTTCCGTGCCTTATGCAAATTTTCGACTACGGCCGGGGAACTCATTAATCTATGTTGAATGACAGCGAAATTTGAATACCAAAAAACAAAAAAAAAACTATATTTATCAACGCGAAATGAAAAATGATGCCAACGAAGAAAAAAAGCTGAGTAAAAAAGCAGTTATCGATATGCAAATGCATTTTTGGGCAGCGGCGTATTCAAATTTCAGAAACTGCATTAATTACAAACGCAATATTTACAAAACAAATGTGTCGCATTGTCGCAGGACATGGCCCAGGACCTCGGCTACAAAAAGGTGTGAGCTGATCACCCCACCTCTCTCTCTCTCTCTCTCTCTCTCTCTATCTGTGTTTCTCTCTCTGTTTCCTACTGACAGCTGTCAACCCCTTTTTGAAAGTGGCAAAAATTACAAAGATTACAACTTAATTTCGACTTTTTGCATTTACATTTTCAGTGCATAAATCTCTGGCACGGCGAGACAATAAAATGACACTCGAAATAGTTGGAAAATATTTTGTCGTGCCCTGAAAGGACAATGCATTCTGCCAGGACACACACAGCGAGCGAGAGTGAGAACCCTTCTTCAAGTACCTGGTTTTCCCACATTCAACATTTGCATCTCTCAGCTCAGCTGTCTGCCATTTATTTTTGTGACTCGATTGTCTTTGTTTTCCACTCCGGGCATATTGTCCTTTCACACCTTTCTTGCCTTGCCTGCTCCCGTAAATATTTTGATTGCATTTGGCGCAAAATTTCGAAATGAGCACACAAAATGGAAACCCGCCCGCGGAATTTAGCTTCCATAAAATGCACCTTAGCCAATTAGCAGCGCCCTCATCTTCAAACTGGCCCCAAACAAAACAGTCGAAACACAAACACAAACAAACACAAAACAGCCAGCAACAACCTGTTTCCGTTGACGGAACGCACTCACCTGTAGCCGGTAGCCCTTTAGCCTCTGGCTGTTAGTTTAGCCTACGGGCTGCCCAAATCAAAATTGCATCGAGTCCACGAGATACTTCCTTCCTTCCTGCCTTCCTTTCCGTTCTTGTTCACACGTTATTCACTGGCCATAAAGCAACAGTTAAAAACTGACACTCAAAATATGCGGGAATAAAGACTCTTAAAATACCCTCACTTACATAATAACTACTGATTAATCAGTATTATAATGATGACATTGAAAGGGAATCACAAAGTAGCTGAATATATAGAATTATATTATTTCTATGTATTTATTAACAGAATAATGCAATAAGTATTTTTTACGATTTTATTATGTGTTTATAACGAGCTAAAATTGAACTGTTTACGATTTATTGATTTATTTATACATTTTTTCTTTTATTTATTAATTTTTCTTGTTAAGCAGGTCTTATTCTCATGATAATTATAGATGTTAAACTTGAAGTTAAGAAGAGTTTCAATTTAAGAAGAGTTATCTTTGAGACAAGAGGAAAGGTTTCTCAATTCTTATAAACCATTTTTTTAAATACAGCGAATTGTTTTAAATAAAAATTTATTATTGAAAGTTAAGTTCTTGTAAAAATAAGAATAATAATATTTTGTTACAAAAATGTTTACATTTATTGACTGACTTAGGCACAATTGAAATTACTATATTCAGCAACTTAAGATTGGGGACATAGTTAGACATAAGTATATATATATATGTATATATCTTCTCAAAATAAAGTCAACTAAGTTAATAATTCATATAAAGTATAAATAGACTAATGAAAAGCAATAACCAAACCAAGTTTCCTTAGGCCGCGTACAAAACTCAGCCAGTTCACAGAGAACAGTTTAACTTCAATTACTGTCCGTCTGCGTAACTGCCTTGCCTCAAGTCGCATTTAGAACACCCTTGTGGCAAGTGTATAGCAACGCAGGCGCGAAAATGGGGCGACATCAAAAGTCTCAGCGAGTTCACATCTCAGTCAGCACTTGACCAACTCGGAGAAGTTGATCATTCAGTTGAGAGTTGTTGCCGTCGTCAGTCAGCCAAGCGTTGCATTTGTAACGTATTTTCTTGTTTTCAACCATTATTTCAACCGTTCTTTTTCACCCATATTAGAATGCCCTGATATGTCTTTTGTGTTGCTGCCCATTTCTTCCTCAGTTTACTTGATCTCACTCCAATGATAAAAATGCATTTTTCCCAGACAATTAAAAGATGGTCATCAAGTCATAAAAAATGCGTTTCTTGCCTGTTTTTTTACTTCTCGGCGATGAACGATTGCTTTTCCTCTCAGTTGTGTGATGTGGTTGAATTTATCTGAATTTGTGGCACTGGGTTATAGTTATTTTGTAGAAGAACTCTGGCAATAAAAAGTAGGCAACGCCAAATCTCCTTAACTAATCAAATTGAATAGTTTTTAGCTACCTTTGAACTGTGGGAAATTAAGTTAAGGCGCTGATAACTTTAACTGCTTTTTTTTCAACTCTTTAGAATTTGATGTTTTTACTTTACGTCAGAAAAATAGAATCCTTTAGAAAACTGCTCATCTTATCATTTATTGCCTACTTTCCTTATTTTCACACCCCCCGAAAACTGAGGCTATTATGCAAGTTTAACAAAGTCATTAAGATTTGAAGAACTGTTCAATTTTTCCCAGCGTTAATTTAACAATAAATCACTTACAGCATTTGCGAAATGCAAAATGATCATTTGCAAAGAAATTTGTAAACATTTTATTACAACGTGTCGCGAAATTGAGAAACTGAAAGGGTTTCAACTGCGATACGTAAATCCCATTCTCCTCACAGCTACTTAACATGCACATACGATCAGCCAGGATGAACAGGACGAACAAAGGCGAGTTTTCGCAAAACGGCAAAGGATCCTTTTACACAACGGACAGGACTCTATCAAAAGAGTTTGGATGTAAGTGTAACCCTTTTACAGATAACAACCCCAAATCGAAGAAACCACCCTAAAAGGGAATCTCCTGCCTCTGCTTGGGTTGTTCATTTAGCTGGATTCTTTAACACTTTTTCTATATGTGATTTTTAAGCTGGAGATAGAGAGAAAGAGGGAGAAAAAGAGAGAGATAGAGAGAGAAGAAGAGTTGCTTATATCTATCACTAAGAATTGTCTTCTTTGCATATGTGAGTCATTATTATTTTTGGCTCTGACCGTTTATTGGCCATGCATAATCCCGTTAATGTGCTTATTGCGGCCGCTATTTGAATAATGCACAGTTAACGCTTTAATCTGCTTAGCCACGAACAGAGCAAAAAGGCCAAATGCCGAACTTATCAAAAAAAACACTTCCGGTCCGTTTTGGGACACCTTTTTCGTTGTTGTGTGTAATGTGATTTTGATATTGTTGCGTTTTTACTTTCCGATTGAGGGATATCGCTTACCAAAAACAAAAAACAAAAAAACAAAAAAAGAGAGAAATAAATTCACGTTTTATTCTCGCGCGAAGCGAATCCATCAATTTTATTGCCAAGCATTTTGTTGTTGTTGTTGCTGTTGGATTCCAGTTCGAGTTCCCATTACGTATTCGCAATTATTATGATTCCTCTTTCACACACACACACACTGCTGTGGCTTCCCCCCATACACACACACACACACACACACACTCGCAGTTCCTGTTGCCGGCTGAAACAAAAGACGTCTTTGGCTGTCAAAATGGTTACAACGCTTGCCAACAGTCGTAAAGTTTTGCAGCGGCGGCTTTAAGCTGCTTATGTGACAGAGACAGACACACAGAGAGAGAGAGAGAGAGAGAGAGAGAGAGAGAGAGAGAGAGAGGGAGGGAGAAGTGAGCGCGAACTCTGCTTATAAAATGTATTATATTATGGCCATTGCATACAAAGCATTTTGCGGTTTATCCTTTCAGCAATAAAAGTATCCGATTACTAACTGCACTTTTTTCACATGACGTCGCCGCAAGAAAAAAGAAAAAAAGAAAAAGGATCTGAGTGTCCTGGATTCAGTCAGCTCGGGCTCGGCCTGTCAACGCGTAGATCAAATGCTAACGAGCAGCAGTTCCTGGAGTTCCAGGAGTTCCTCGAGTTGCTGCAGTTTCTGAAGCACAGCTGTGTCGAGTTCTCTTTTTGTTCCACTTTTGCCTGCACCTTTTAATTAAAGCTTAAGCCTTTTAAATGCCCGAGCAGGCCTTAAGCGCCAGGTTAGCCCAAGTTAAATGCCATTTCAAAGTGTGGACATGATATGCCTCGAACTGTAAACTGAGACAACGAGCAACTGTCGCTGTCAGCTGTGCAACACAACAACAGCAAACAGCAAACAGCAGCAGCAACAACAAACAGAACAAGAACAAGGACAAGGACAGAGACAAGGACATGCTTTTTGGACAACCACACTTTATGATAAAGAGAGATAGTCTGTGTGTGTGTGGGTGAGTGTGAAATGTTCTTGTGTGGCAAATACTTGGAAAGGTCGGCATAGTGTTAACTGATATCCATGTGATGCAGACCCAAAGATGCCTTATAAAACTGACACATCAATTTTGAAACATTTTAGCTTATGTGAGGCACATTTTAAATATTTATTTTGTTATAATATCTATGTATTTGTAAGCTTAACCCATTAAAAATGAAATTGTGAAATGATAATCAAAGAAGTTTTTCATTTTCATTTAATTTTTACTCTTTGGAGTTAGTCAACAATAAATAAATAAATATTTCTCAAAGTATTCTTGATCAGCATCAACAACTAAGTCCATCTATCTGTTCATCTGCATAAACTGACGTATCTCAGAGACTATAGGAGCATTAATCTGATAGATAAGTTATTGTAGCAGCTTCTTGTCAATTCAACTATAAAATGTATTTTAATTGAATAAATATGTCAGATGGGATCAAGTTATAGAGTTCTCTTAACTAGGATATTTATTTGCTTTTAATTGCATTTATTTTTATTATTTAACAAACCAAACTGAAGAAACTAATGAAAAACGAAACGCAAGAAAAAAGAACGCTAAACACGTGTACAAAAACAACAACAATAAGAAGAACTAAAGTTGGGTTCCAGTTTCAGAGTTGGATTGAAAGACGTATTGGGTTGATTGTTAAGACTGTTCGCTGTTGTCTTGGGTATCCCATAAGCCGTACTTCTTGCCCACCGTTTGCTGCCAGAGACGCAATCCGCCTTCCTTTGAGCCCGATGCAAAGACCTCGCCATCGGGACTGTACTTAATGGAGCGCACCGAGTGTTCGTGTGCCACAAAGCTCTCCAAGCAGTGTCCACTGGCATATTCGAATCTGTGGATGCGATTACCTGCCGCACACACATACGTCTCTTTGGCGGGATGCAAGGAGGCGCCACTGACACACATCGAATGCTGACGATGCTGCAGTACCTGAAAGCGTTCCACATCCAGAAAGATGACACTCTGAGCATAGGCGATAGTCACAGTGCGTCCATCAGCATTCAGTTCCAGCGATTTGGCATGGTGTGGCAGATTTATGGAATGCACTTGACGTCCATTCCGCAGATCCCAGAGTCGTATGGAGCGATCATGGGAGGATGAGAGCAGTGCCCGATCATCGCAGCAGAAGATCACATCGCGTACCCCTCTTGACTGTCCCTCTAATAGCAAAGCCATGTCCGGCCTATCCAGTTCATACAGATAGAGGTCTGTATCCAAACAGTGACAGTGTTGGTCCAGACAGCCCACAGCCAGATATGCTGATTTGGCGGCAAGTGCCACACAACGCACCGAGCATGGCGACTCAAACTTTGCCAGCTGTTTGCCACTGGTTGCATTCCAGATGCGAGCAGTGAAATCCTCGCTGCCAGTGGCCATAAGTGTGGCATCCCCATTGATGTCCACACAGAGCATCGCCTTACCAGTCTTTCTCTTCCTCACTTTCCCAATTTTTCCCACCCAATCTCCCGTGTCACCGTGCCGCAATATAGCATGTCCATCCTTGGAGGCCGATGCCAAATAATATCCCGAATCGCAGATCTGGCTAAAGGCCAACTGGACCACATCTGCCTGGTGACCCACACACTCCACTGGTAATTGTGCTCCCTCCATTCTGTATTTGAAATTCGCTATTCGCTTTAGGAATTCTGATTTACAATATTTTTGATAAATTATATTTTTACACCTTTTCGTTTGGTTTTTGTTTGAAAGTGCTTTGAGTCGATTGATGCATGATCAGCTGGAAGTTTTTAAGCAGTGACTACTGTGATTGTAGGCCTTATGAAGTAATTGCCAGAAGATTAATAAGAAGTCAAATCCCGAAGAATGAAAGTTTCATTTATGGCAATATCTTAAATAAGTTTTGATTTATAAAGTACTCATCGCAATTTGCTGTAAAATTTAATTAAAAACCGTTGTAACTTTTCCAGAAACAACATACAAATATTTTGAATTTTCATTAATGAACTTAGCTTATGCTATTTTGAATGTAAAATGATTTTACCTGATGTTTAATATTACAGAGCCAAACAAGCTTTAGATGAGAAGGCCACCCTATGTAAAATCTTTACAAATGCTTTTCGCGCATCTCAAATGACCATCAACAAGAAGACAGAGTCAAGGATAAAGGATGAAACCCATTCACATAAATTCTGGCAGCCAAAGTTATGACAAGTCTGAGAGAAAGGAACTTGTAATCCAAGAAAAGCGCAGATGAGACAACCCCCAGATAAAATACTCGTATGCAAATATATTTGTATATATATATATATATATATATATATATATATATATATTTATATGTTTGCATATTTTCCACACACAACCCTTTTGTTTTTCCCACATGACACATAAATATAAAAGAGGAGTCGAGGACATTGGTCAGCTGGGCCGTTAATTGAATCATTACTGAGTGGAAAAAAAACAACGTTGCAGCAACAACAATGCAACATAATTATTATGAGTGATTGCCAGGGAGAGCGAGGGATATTTTCTTAAAACAAAAGGGCGCGCCTGAGGCTACCTTTCAAAATTAATTTCAATAAGTCAGCATCACAGCTGCGGGCAGTTGGCCATTCCTATCAACCTCCCTAACCCCCGCCACTCCTCATCGTAAACTGGTCTGGAGAACTGTTAGCGACAGCCTCCTTTCAGCCCAGAAACACACGGAACCCAATCCGCATGTAATCCCTGACAGTTATCCAAGCCGGAGATAGTTGAAAGGGTTGCTCCTAAATAGAAAAACCACTTGAGCGAGTTTTTCACCTACCCCCACCACGACTCTCTCTATCTCTTTCTCCTTAGACGGCGGCTTCTTCCAAGACGAGCCTATATCTGTCAGACCCATGCCTCAGTCTGTCCGTCCCTCCGTCCGTTTGTGACTTGAGCATTTTTCCAAACTGCTTCACTTCAATGCGCCCCGCACGGGTCAATAATTTTTGCCGAAATGGCATAGTTTTGAGTAGTTCCCCTTACCCAGTACCCCCTTACATTGAATTATATATATATGTGTGGAGTGCATAAGGTCGTGGGCTGGATTCTTGAACTCTTGAAGTGAACTAAAAATATTAATTTTATTTCCTATAAAACAAAACTCGCAATGACGCAGCAAGAAAATGACTTCCTTAGCAGCGAAGAGTTTCCTCATTTGGAACCCTTGGCAGCAAAATGAAATTCTTTTCTGTGCGACTTGGTTCAGAAAGTATTTTACGTAATACACATTAATATTACATTTTAATTTAAAAACTCGTTTTTTACTCGAAATTCATGAACAAACTTTGAAATTTCGTTTGTCATATTTTGTACTTTCCATAACTTTGTCAGAACTGAACCGAACAAAAACCCAGGTCTTTTTGGACATGGTTTGATCTCTGGATTAATTTAGAAACATGGAAGTTGTATCTAACAATAATCGAGCTCAGGTTCGACCTCAAGTTTGACCTCTAAACTAATACTATTCTTAAAGTTTAGCAACGCAATTCCAGTTCCAACGTCATGTTGAAGTTAACGCTGCAAAATTCTTTGCAGATCGTTTTCAGCAATAGATTTATGATTTCAGTCTTCATGGTTAAGATCCCATTTATAACAACTGATTATCAGTTATTGTTCAGCTCATTTGTGTGCTAAACAAGCAAAATTTGAGCCAAGCAAATCTTAAGTTTCCCCTCTCAAAATGAAGGCAGAGCATGCTAAATTTAGTTTTAAATACATTTTTGGAAGAGATAAAATATTTCCAAAAAAGAAAAAGAAATCTATTCAAGTGACATTACAATGCGATTAACTAGCCGCCGCAAATTGAGAGAGAGAGAGAGAGAGTAAGAGAGAGGATGAGGAAAACCCGTCGCGACACATTTGTTTGAGCGAATCAATTAGTCACAATGGCCCACGGGACAGTTTTTGCCTGTCCTGCAGACACTGGTAATGGTATTGTTGTGCCTGGACTGGACTGGCCTGACCTGAACTGAGCTGAGCTGAGCTGAACGGAGAGTAGTTGATGTCCCTGCATAAGGGCGTTAATTATCGGGCAGACGTTTAATGAATGCGCCCGGAGCGACGCGCACGTAATTTAAATTTGCTTAGTTGCGTGTTTGTTGCTGCTGTGTGTGTTGTGTGTGTGTGTGTTGTGTGTGTGTGTGTTTTTGTTGTGTGACATTGCCTTTTGGGCTAGCTGCTTAGTTAGAAGACTCATCCAAGCGGCCACTTTAGTTTCCGCTTCCTGTTTAGCATTGTTATCCTGGATGTAATTAGCTGTGCAGCGACAGGAAGCGATTGCAGGCTCTTAAGGAGCTGCCACAGATAACATCTACCACCCAAATTCTTACAACGTCTTAGCGGTGTCTCTTTCCTCTCAAATGCCAAGTTATTTGACATGTGAAAAGCCAGCTGAACTGGGCAATTTAATAAACCAATTTGCGCTGGTCATAAACAACAGATTGAGGCTTTTGTTTGCCAGAGATCTATAAAGTATTTGGTAGCCACTTTTATGGCTACTGCCAAGCAGCTGGCTATTTCTAAATTTTAATGCTCATTGCTCCATTATAAAATGATCATTAAATCGGCAGCCCATTTGACAATTGATTGATATATGTGGCATCAAGTTGCAAATCGTACAGAAATTGGGTAGTTTTTGTGCTAAATTGTGGGCTACTTTCGCAAATGACTTTATTAGTAGGTAAGTCGGCTATTATTAAAACTGAAAATATTTCAAAAATCATTTCAACAGCTGTCATACATCACACATATGAGGCAACTAACCCTCAGTGCCTATTTCCCTCAACTCAAACGAGCATTTTCCTCAACGCACAAAAGTATCATATAACAAATTTTAATTAAACATATGCTAAATACTTTTAGCTTAATTAAAAAAAAGAAAAGAGAAGACTATGTTCTATAGAAATTAGGAAAAAATACTCTTAAAAGGTATCTGCTTACATGAAAACATAAAATCCATGATTGATGCCCGGCTGTCAGCAGTGAAAATCACACAGAAATGGCATAAAAAACTTAAAGTTTTCAATGGGATTTTCTTTAAAGTTATATTTTTTACCAACCACCATATGGGAAAATGTGGTGCAACAGCTGCCAGTTGAAGAGTTCTTTGCGACTATGCAAATCAGTTGCAAGCATCATTCCATCATGCAGTCCATCAGTTCCATCAATCCTGCAATTTGAGTAAGCGAGTGACATAATTCCCGACACTGTGACGAACTTTGATTGATATGTGCGCGTCCGTTGAGATCAGAGAAAGTTTCTCGCTCTCTCTCTCTCTCTCTCTCTCTCTCTCTGTGAATGCGACAGCCATAGCGAATTTTGAGACTGGTTGCAATTTCCCCTTTGCCATCACTTTAAAGTGTCAAAAATTGTACGTTTTGGATTGATCACTTGAGCTGCGTTTTTAACATGATGTAGAGCGTGTTCTTCTTTCTCTCCTTTTTTTTGCATAATTTAATTTGGGGTTTACACGAGTTTTACAAGGGATAAACGTCGGTTGAGTAACGGAAAAACAACATGGGAAAACTTTTTCTTTGCACTTAGACATCAACTGACATTTTATGATGTGCTTTGAATGGATAATATCACATAAGATTGAGGAATGTTTTATATTAGCTATAGGAAAAACGAAGAAACAATATCGAAGCCAACTTAATGATTTACCCTTTTTCAAAAAGTCTACACACTGACCCACTTTGACTTGGCTTTCGATTCTATGACCAGCAGGCATAGAAATAAAATGAACTCATTGCTCAAAACTGGCGGCATCATTCAATAACAGCCCTTCGGCTACAAGTCATTTATGAAAACATTAATAATAATTAGTACAACTTTAAAAAGTCTACACGCAGTCTACTCGAAAATAAACGCCAAGTCAGACTATTAATGATAGTTTGGTTTGTCTATTTGAAAATCGAAAGTGACTTGGAAAACGGGGCGTAGTCCAACAGGGACACTTGAAGCGGAAGCGTTGCTTCATTTGTCAGCTCGTCACTGCGGAAATGGAGGCATTGCAAGCAGCAACAACAACAACAACAACCAGAAGTCGAACCTTATCATCATCGGCAGCATGGTTTATATGGGAGTGGAAGAAAAATGAAGAAACTGAAAAATTGGCTATCGTCAGCGGAAGTCCAACGAATATTTTAGCGCTTGCCATCAAAATATTTACAGGGACTCATAAAAATGAGCACTTTATGGCAAACTCAGCGACAGCAAATGTATAAAATGCCCAGTACATTTGTAATTGCATATAATTTTTATAGAACAACAGGAAATCAGCAAGGGGTAAGGAAAGGAGCAGCAGCAACAGCAGCAGCAGTAAATGAGAAAGTCAGCAGGGGCCACTCCCATTGATAATATGGCAGCAAAAAGTAGCTCACATTTTACATCAATCTAAAAAATATGCTTGCCAGATTCCCAGTGCCTTCTTTCAATTTTTGGCTGTGTGCGAAATGTGTCAAGACAAATCAATAAACTTCTAATTTTATTACGGTGCAAAGAGGAGACGAGGCATCAGCATCCGCATCTATTGGAACGTTACAGATACCGATCTGTCAATTCCTATTGTCAATTTGACAATTGATATCTCACACATCATTTGATTCGAGTGCGCACAATGAGATTGTTTATGTCTTCCAAAGGAGGGAAGGGGACAGTCTTTCAGACTTG